TAATCAATACAGATGAACTAGAATTAACCTTCCTTTAACTGGGAAGTTATAATTAACTAGGTCATCTGGTTAACTGAAGGTTAATTAAAAAGGAAAACGCATCCTCGCTTTGATCTTTTGGGCTGAAAGTCTTTTAAAATGTGCATCTCCCCTTTCCTCTGAACCTTCACAGCACACGGTTGACATCACCAAGATTCACTGCATGTGAAGGAACTTGAAGGTCCATCATGTGGTCATTTCTAATTTTGCTGGCATGTAGGAGTAGACCATTTAGCTGGCGAGGGCACCAGATTGGTATCTCATATTGACTGTCCGATCCTGTAGTCATCATTAAGGCATGAGCTCTCACAAGGCAAGAAAAACTATTTCTTAATGGAAAATCACCATCGAGAGAGAGAGAGAGAAAAAACGTCAGTGAAATTTGACAAGGTGGTTAACTTATCTTGTATAGATCAACATGAGGACCAGATGGTTTTTGATGAAAAAATTTGATTTTGGGAAAAAACAGAAGTCAACACAAATACTACTGAGGTTGCAAATTGGAGAACATAGCCTTTTTTAAATGTCGAGGATCTACTATACAGACTGAGAAACATAAGCAATTTCTCGATGAGGATGTGGTGGGGTCTTAGTAGCATTACCCCAGCAATGGGATAAGGGATACAGATTTAGAGGGTAGAGGAAATGGAACTGTGTGCTAACTGCAGGGCAATTTAACAAATACATTCCCGGTTTAGTCATTACTTACTCTATGAGCCCAAAAGAACAACCTCTAGAGATGAAAACAAACAGTTGATCATTCAGATTTGTTGCATTCTACTCAGTCATTCAATTATTATCTAGCTCTATGAGGAATTGTTACCCGATTAAAAAGAAACCCAGTGACTATTTCACTTATTAACAAAAGAGGTTAAACCTAATGAAAAGTTGTTTTGAAAGTTTTACATACAGCATTCTTTGTATGAGCAGAGCTAGTGAGAATATGATGATCACACAGTAACATTATTAGGAAGATTAGGACATGGAAGGAAAGAAAGGTAGAAAGAAAATAGGTAGAAATAAAGCATAGTATTCCACTATTCCCATTTCATTCATGCTGTCCTCCTCATCCCTCCATTCTGTAGTCAGACAAATGAGGAAAAACTCACACTATCCCTCACCCCCACCATTTTTCCATGTGCATACACAGATACATTCCTGGGAGGTAAGCTCACAAATGACACCACTGAACCAGCAATGCCTGGGTGGTATGTGCAAATGAGTGCTGTTTGTGCAAAGTGCTATGCCTTAGTCACGAGAGTGCCTGTTGGAGAGATTAGTTCTCAGGCAGGAAGGTGACAGAGGCCAAAGGCTTCTTGCAAACCCCTCTGGATCTACGGAGACCCGAGACACCCATGCATGTTTACCTGGGGAGCCCGCCAGAGAGTCCCCTCTGCTGACAGCGAAGGTATGAGACACAGAGACGGGCACTAAAGAGTCAGGGGCCAAGGATTTGAGTTGCAAAAGGGAAGATATAAACACAAAAGGAAAGAGACAAAGAACAAAGTGGGTGAGACAGTCTGTTCCTGGATCTTCACAACATCACACTTCTCTGCAAAAAGGAATCTTGACTCTGAAAACACAGAAATCACATCCTCTTACAAAGTCACTCTCCAGAAAGACAAGAAAATAAAATGGATTTTGCTGAAAGTCATCTGAAAAGATGTGCAACACATCTTGGAATCAGAGGCACAAGCACAAGCCGAGCCCTGTGGGAAGCATGTAGGCAGCATTCTCTGAGGCTCCCATTTTGAGCCAGCAAACATGCTGGGAGCCCAGCGCTGCATTCCCACCAAGCTCTCCCAGCTCCCACGGAGCTCAACTGCCAAGGGCACCTGCATGGGTACTCAGAGGCCTGAATGGAAAGCGTGTGCTCCTGCTAGGGGCATCCTTGAGGAAGCTAGATCCTGCCTCTGACTCCTAGGAGCTCCCTCTGGTTACAGAACAATATCTCTAGCAGTGTTAACGTGAATCAACTTGAATTAAATCATAGCCACTTCGTGGTAAGTACCAGTGGTCCAAAGCATCTCTCTGTTCCCTTTTCCTTCTCTTTCTCCACAGAGTTGGAAATGCTGCTGGCTATCACTTGGGGGCCTGGGTAGAGTTGAGTGTGTAGTGACAGTCCAGTCACTCCCCCTTCAAGTGGTGTCTGGCCACGGGACCCATGGGAACCTGTCTTCGTCTCTCTTATCTGATCATTCCCAGAGTCCTTTTTAAGGAGCTAAATGAAACCAGTCTGCAGATGATAGCATATGGAAATAGACAGCTTCTGCAGTTTTATTTGCTAAACCAAATGATTTTATTTGAAATGACCTACCTGATAATCCTTTACTCTGACATGAGATGTTAACGAATATTAGAATGGGCTTCCAATATTATGAGACACAATGGAGTTAAGAAACCCTCTATTCTCAAGAAGAATCATAGTTCTAAATGTAGAAATGTATACACCAAACTGTAAACACTGCATACAATGTATTATACAATGTATAAATGTATACACCAAACAGAAAGGAGACCTGTTCTTTCCACATCTGCACACCTGTGTGTGCACCTATTCCAGCTACCCTGGGTTCCTGGCAATCAGAACCAAGAAGAAGACAGTGTAGATTATGTTCCCTTCGCCTCACACAGGAAAGCCAGAGACTTCTTTGTAGCCTCAAGTTCAACTTTGAAGCATAGGTCATCGTGCCAGTCTTCCAGCAAACTCATAATCTCACTCCTCATCCTCAAAGGCTAATCAAGCTAGCTTCAAGCATAGGGGGAGGGGGCTGGGCCAAGACCCTGTAAGATTTTATTGCCTTTTGGCTTAGACTTAAGCTCTTCCTCAACCTATAGGGTTGAGGTTCTTGGCCAATGAAAGATGCTGGGTGGCTGGACCATGGGCTGAGCCTTCACCTGGGATAACTGGGGTATGGCTGGCCTTTGCAGTTACTTCACACTTCACTACACTAAGTATGGATTCCGGGAGGACGGAAAATGTCTTTTTACCCCTATTGGCTAATAATATTTCTTTTTCCTTCTGAAGATTTACAGAGATGCTCAGTAACATGGGGAGAGAAAGAGAAAGAGTGTTATGCTTCTTTTCAGTTAACTAGTTTTAAAGGAGAAATCAATGTTGCAACTTTATTTCTATCTCGCTGATGCCATTGAAAGCTTTTGAAAGAAAGAACTAGAGACAGGAAGGAAGGAAAGGAAGAAATCGGATAACATATTCCTTCTACTTAAAATAATTTTTTTTTTTTTTTTGAGATGGAATCTTGCTCTGTAGCCAGGCTGGAGTAAGGTGGCATGTTTTTTTTTTTTTTTTATCTCCACCTCCCCAGTTCAAGTGATTCACCTGCCTCAGCCTCCCAAGTACCTGGGATCAAAGGCATGCGCCACCATGCCTGGCTAATTTTTGTATTTTTAGTAGAGATGGGGTTTCACCGTGTTGGCCAGGATGGTCTCGAACTCCTGACCTCGTGATCCACCCGCCTTGACCTCCCAAAGTGCTGGGATTACAGGTGAGAGCCACCATGCCTGGCCACAGCATTGGGCTAGGAAGCCATATGTAGGCCTTTTTTTCTCAGAATTTCCACCTCTTTCAGTCTTCTGGAAGAGATCACAGACATTTCTAGGTAACATATTAGAATCCCAGGAGTAGTCCCTAATGTGATGGATGATGGAAATTTCCTTTAGAGAACTAAGGTTTGCCAATGTCCTGTAACCCGTCCCTCGCCCATCGAGAGTTCTACTGAGCACCGATGCTTCCTTCATCAACCTTGATTGAGATTCGTTGTCTTAAGTATAATAATGTACCAGGGTCTTCTCAATTTTACAGATCTCCTCCAACTCAAGTTCTGCCACTCTTCAGACTGGACAGGTACTTCATTTCAGCCACTGGCTGGGCTATTACACTGTAACAATTACACTGTAAATTGTTCCACTATTTTCACTTAGAAATTGCATTCCAGAATATGATGGATCTGAAACCTGTATTTTCTTGTGCTGTGTGAACTAGCCAGGATACCAGGAAGCATCTTGGCCGGTCACCAACTTACTGGGTGATTTGAAGCAAGTCATTTCCTTAGTTTCACTCATGTTAAAATGGTATCTACCTTGCCATGTTCCGGGGACTATGATACCAAGCTCTGGGACTCTCTGACAATTCCCACCACAAGGGAATACGTAAAATCTTTTTTGTGATGCGAGGAAAGACCCTATTTGGCATTGAAGTGGCCACTGTAAACACTGACAGCTGAAAGCAAAATTCAGATCCGTGAATCAGAAAGAAATGTAGAGAAATAATTCTTTCTGGATCACACTTTTAATCACAAGAAATGCCATGCCCTTTAAACACAAGTGCAATAACTACACAGGAAACAGCAAGAAGGCGCAGCACAGAAGGGGCAGAGCAAACCAGCCATCAGCCCTGTGCCTGCCCCCCACCAACAGCATGCATGGCCAGCTGGCAGATACCTCTCCACTAGCTGAGAGGTGGAGAAGCAGGAAAGAGAAGCAGATAAGCAGCGTATTGCACAAGGGTGGAACTTACATCCCCAAATCTTGCAGTCACTTCTTACTGCGGACAAACCCCACAGACACAATAATAGCATATGAGAGTTTCTGAGTAAAGGCCATGAGTGAATTGTTATTGCACAGAAGGAAGGGCTGAACCTCTGCCCAAGCACACAAATCACCTGCCTGCATTTCCTGGAAGGTGGCAATAAGCAGTGCCTCCCCTCCCAACCCCTGCATCCCCCAACCATGTGAGCAGAGAAGCCGCAGAAGACATTCCAGACACAAGAACCTAAGCTCCCATGGTCTGTGGGTACCTGGCAGGAAGCAGTGCTCCTGGCAGAACATTACAAAGAGGCTGCCAGCATTTGTCTTAGCCCCAGCCCAGGTCCAGGTCCCCAGAGTGGGCTGAGGCAGGACTACGATGGGGAGGACGAGGAAGGGGTTTGAGAGATACATACGAAAGACAGAAGATCCAGCCAGACTTCCAACCTTCCGCACGTCATTATCTAAGGACAGAAGGATGCAGTGGGTTTCAGAGGCAACTCAGAAAACACACTTCTTATGGGAATCTTCCCTCTTCTATCCACCCCCAGCACCAATTAACCCTGTAAAAACCAGGTAATTAAATGGAAGGGTAGGGAACCAGTATAAAAAGCAAAATAAACTCGTCTTTTCACAGTGAAATCTACCACCCTAGATCCCTAACACTTGACAATATTACTGCTTTTTACAATTCAATTTTTGTCACTTTTCTTTAAGCACTAACTGAATGAAAAGTGATTCATACACCCATTTTGCAGAGGAAGGAACTAAAGCCAAGGAAGTTAAATGGCTTGTCCAGGGTGATTAACAGGAGTCAAAGGAGGAGTCAAGACTTGAACCCCTCTGCTTTTTCTACCATATCCCATTACTTTCCCAATAAACAAATGGAAACTAGAATACCTGAGCAAGCAGTGGTCATGATGGCTGGGACGCCATAGTAAGTAAAGGCTCCATTCTCAAAGCGAAGGCCTTCCTTACCAACCTCCACCTCCACTTTACCCTGGGAAAAAAAAAAAAGGAAGTGTACTATGAATGTATATGAGCACTTCCAGTTCTACTATTGACTAGAACCTTAAGCATTTCTGCTTGGATAATAAGTGGACTAGACCCATGTTCTTATCACAGAGGAATGTTAATTCTCTCCAGATTTACATTTGAGAAAGCACTTCCAACTTTAGTAGCTCTTTGCAGTAAATTCAGTGCTTCGTTGTTCATAAAACAGCATCCAGTCATGAATAACCAAGCTGTCGTTGCGTACTGTAACGGCCCTTCCACGATGCAGGCCTAAGCACCAGCTAACCCAGGGCCTCATAAACTGCCCCACTGGTTTAGTCCAAGACTGGACCATTTCTAAGTCAGGTCAAGATAAAATCTAGGCCGGGTGTGGTGGCTCACGCCTTAATCTCAGCACTTTGGGAGGCCAAGGCAGGTGGATCACGAGGTCAGGAGTTCAAGACCAGCCTGGCCAATATGGTGAAACCCCCATCTCTACTAAATATTTAAAAATTAGCTGGGTGTGGTGGTGCACGCCTGTAGTCCTAGCTGCTCGGGAGGCTGAGGCAGGAGAATTGCTTGAACCAGGGAAGCAGAGCTTGCAGTGAACTGAGATTGGGCCACTGAATTCCAGCCTGGGAGACAGAGCAAGACTCCATCTCAAAAAAAAAAAAAAAAAAAAAAAGATAAAATCTAATTCTGTGTGAAGCTTGTTTAATTCATAAAAAAAAATAGTGATAGCTGATGTGTAATGCATAGCATGCATGGACATAACACTGTGTTATGTGCACTGCATAGATTCTCATGCAATTAGCTCCACAACCCCATGAAGCCCATGCCATTTTTATCCCCGATTTACTGGGGACTCAATTTTGAGGCTCAGAGATTGAATAACTTGGTCAAGGTTAGTTAGGAGATGGCAACAATGGGATTTTAAAGCCACAGTTTTCAAATTTCTGAGCCTACACTCTTGCTACTACATTTTATTCCATGTTTTATTTGAAAACTGTTAAGTTTATATTCAGTACAAGACATGAAACTATGTGCTCATTACATTATACAAACAATGTAACAGGATTCTTGTTGATTTCCAACAGTGAAGCACATGACTCCATTTTTTGGAGAAGAGAGGTCATTTTGTTCAGACCATTTGGAAAGATATATGTGAGGCAAATTACAGTGACAGAGCAGAGAGGTTGGAAGTGGACTGTAACAAGGAGACCATTTCTAAGTTCATGTGAGCTTAATTAAGATTCTAAAACACAATCAGCGTATTTAGGATTCACAAGGTTATGCTGGGAAGAGACAGGGAATCAGTGACAGAGCTAATGGTGAAGCCAGACAGGGCACCAGCAGTGTTACAAGCTGTAATCATGTCAGACACTTATTTAAGACAGGCCTATTCAGGTATCCAGAGCAGAAGGTGATCATACTTATGTGAGCACTGGGGAGATGTTGCACTTCTTTGAACAGGTCATTTTTCCCCTTCCTGGTCCTCTTAAGGGGGAGAAGATTCCAGGAACTACAAAGGCTGAAATGCAGCTGAGAGAATGAATGTGTCCCGTGCACCTCCAGAGAGCAGAGCAGGGACCAGTAAGGAAGTCAGAGGTGGTGAGATTTCCACTCGGCAGAGAGAAGGGTTTAAAGAAGAGTTGTCTAAAGTTCAGCAGGCAGTGGGCAGTTTCATTTCAGGGGATGTTCAAGCAGAGATGACGAGGTATTATAGTTTCTGCAGAGCAGCAGTTCTGGAAGTTTAGAAGCAAAACCCCTATTGGAGAGGTATTCACCCCACCCCAAACATTGCTGAGTTGTCAGACTAAATGTCAAAGATCCCAGTACTCCCAGGACACCAGTCTTCTGTGTGTAGCCCCCTCCTGTGGGTCATGAAGAAATGTCCACCCAGCTGGCTTTGTTCCTGAGGCAGCCAGCTAAGTCTCGGAACTTGGTGCTGAAGGAGGCATGGCCATTTCTTCACCCTGGAGATGCCCTCATCTGGCCCTTAGAGGTTCCCTGACTTTCCTACTCACCTGTAGAAGCAGCACAAAGTAGTCCACAGGGCGGTTGCGCTGGTAGAGGTAGTGTTCCGGGGCCTTCTTGTTCTTCTCATCAAACTTCAGCTCCTGGATCACGTTGGGATGTTTCAGGAGCCGGAGCAGGATCTTCTCCGAAAGGTACAGAGACTTAAAGGGCTCCACTTCTAGAGGAGAGTGAGGGGGTAGGGAGGAATCAGCATGAGCTGTGTCCCACCCATTCCAGCAGTGGCAGCTGGGAGGAGTCAGAGTGGGCACAATGAGGGCCCCCTATGCATGTACCAGGGCACCAGGCTGGCAGGGCTTCTGCAGTTCCTTTGGAGTGGAGAATCCTAATCCCAAGTGTGCATCTCAGGGCCTTACCCATGTCCTCTGGAGATGTGTGTCCCTGCACTGGCACCTCGGGAGAAACAGGTCTCCATTTGGAAATGTCTGTTTCATTACTAATTTTCTTTGATTTTATTTAAAATTGGACATGGATAGCTAAGCCACATAAACAACAAATACTTTAATGCTATAATTGAATGAAATGCAGATAATTTAATCCGGCTTATTTGTATGACATATATCTGCTGAATGAAATGAAATCCCACGTTACTAGAGACAGGCAATTATTTAAATAATAAGTTGTCAATAATATGAGGCATCCTTGCATCATATTTATATATTACAGCTATTACTTATATTACATATGTTAAACTTATATTACTTATAGTACATATGCTCTGGGAAGTAGTTAAAAGAAATCTGTATTCAGAACTAGAAATTCTATCTTAAAGCAGCTCCAACTGAAAATTTTCTACTCTTTAGCACCTAAAACAGTGCTAGCACTCATTATACACTCAATAAATACATGCTGGATTAATTAAATATTGAACTTCATGATAGATATGATCATTCTAGGTCAGTACAATAATTAGGCATGGATGGTCAGAGGGTTCAAAGACAAACTTGACCTTCTTCACAAGAAGAAGTTTATCTTTGGATTTTCTCACTTTTTTTTCTTTCTAAAGATCCCAAGATTCACAATCCACTTCTGTATTTAAGCAATTCATAGCTTCTATGGCATTGCTCTAGGGCACCGTAAGTCTAACAGACAGGGAGATGGCCTCAGGCTTCAGCCAGGAAGTGAGTAGAAAAGGGAAAAGTACGGCAATGGTTTCTTTAGCTCTTCTCTCTGGTAGAAGAGTTGAATTATACTCATTTCTTCCTCTATAAGATCAGGCCTGGGGCTCAATACGACAGTAGGTGGCATCCATTACCCTATCTAAGGCAACCTCCTTCCTAGAACAGTGCTTCTCAGTCCTGATAGCATACTGGAATCAGGCTGGAAGATTTTAACAAGGATTGGTGCCTGGGTCCCACCCTAGAGATTGTGTTTTAGCTTCTCCGGAGTGGAGACTTGTCCTACCTGTGGCCATGAAGCGGTGTGTGGCCAGCAGAAGCTGTGGTGAGATCTTCACCCGCATCTCTGTGTCCGAAAGCTTAAACAAGGAGAAGTCATGCCGCTTCCGCTCCCGGTGTGGGACCCTCTGCTTTTTCCGATTGTCAGCTGCGGGGTCACATAGGACAGATTGCAGCTATCTCAGAATCACTGTTGGTCTTTGGAGGTTTTCCCAGAATCACAGGGGACAGATAGAACATTTCTGCAGTGTCAACGATGGGTGACATCACAGTATCACCCAGGAAGTAGAAGGATGTTGGTGAGGGATAGACAATGGGAGACTGCCATCATTTCAGTGTTTTCCACACTTAGCGGGTGTATAGTAGAAAAAGGGGAAAGCTGTCTTGGGGTACCCAAGTCTGGGGTTCTGGGGCTGGTTCCACTACTTACTCACCATACAACCTCTCTAAGCATCAGTTTTTATTTTAATCTGTACAAGGAGGCTAGTAATATTTAATATAGCTCTCATACTCATCTTGTGCAGTTAATTATGAGACTCCAACTGGAAGCTACGTGTGAGAATGCTTTTACACAAAGTCATACACACACAAGGGACCTGCATTCTTAGTATTGAGAGGGTTGCAGGGGCCTAGGGAATTTCTGACTCTGTCCCCCTTCTTTCCCCTGAACTGGCCTCAACTAGTCTCCTGCTGCTTGTCTGAACCATGCTCTGAGTGGTACCTGAAGCATGCCACACAAGGGAAGAGGGCAGCCACTACCTCTTATCTCACAATTTCCCTGCTTCAACCCCAGTCCCTCCACTGGGAAGGAATCAGGGGAAATATAGGGAAGAAGAGAGGAGAAGAAATAAGATTGGACCTATAATCTCTAAAGGTGGGTTTTCTGGGTGGGGGGCCTCAGGCAGGGTCTGGTACCTCCCAAGAGCCTATATATCAGGCATGTAATTATTGGTTGAAAAAATTTGCTTTTTCCAATTTAATTTGTTCTCATTCTTTTTAAAGCTTATCTAAATATATCTACTTTTTCCCCCCCTTTTTTTTGCTTTCTCTTTTTGATACAGGAAATGTTTCCTCTGGTTCTTTCTCTCCCCCCCTTTTTTTTTTTTGAGTAAAATTTTGAAACTGCTAGCCCATCTTATCTGCATTAAGGGGAACAGGAAAAGGGATTTGGGTTTTCTCCAAACTTGGCCTAAAGGGAAACAGGGCCATGGGGTAACATCTGGTGCAAGCTGAGTGGCTGCAGTGAGAATGAACCTTTGTGGCAGGAAAATAAGGCCCCTGAATCTGGCTCCTTGGTGTGCCCTCTCTCCTTTTCGGGCTTGCTTTTGGGTTTCCTTCTAGAAGGGACAAAGTGCCCTCCTGCTGGCACAGCTCTTCCGTGGCCCGCTCTGACTCTGGGACTTCGCAGTCATCTGGCCCCTGCTTTGACACTCCTTTTGCTCAAGTCACAGTGGGCAGACCTAGACCCAGGTGTCCAGATCACCTGAGGTCAGGGTCATGCAAGAAGAAAGACAGTATCCCTGGCTTCTGGGCCTTTTCACAGCTCTTAAGGAATCATGCCAGCAGCTGATTTACCCTAATCTGCTCCTGCAGAAAGAGGATCACTCAGCAAAAGAGTAGCAAACACAGGTTATCAGCCTCACTCTCACTGGTGAGCAACTGTCCGATTTGTATAAGTTTGCCTAAATAGTCCCCCTCTCCCCCATCAGATTGCTACTTAAAATGGCATCATTAGGGAATCATTCCTCTGCTCGCCCCTTCATTCCTTAAATTTTAATAGTGTGTGCTTGAAGCCTTAATGTTGTTCAAACAAGTGCCCTGGGAGTTTACTCATTTAGACTATTATTAGCACCTAACACCTTAGCGTGAATGGCTTCACTAGTTTATCTGAGACCTTTTTTTTTTTTTTTTTTTTTTTTGAGACAGTGCTCCCAGGTTCCCATGGTGGAATGCAGTGGTACAATCTCTTTTTTTTTTTTTCAGGACCTCCCAGGCTCAAGGGATCCTCCCACCTTGGCCTCCCAAGTAGCTGGGACTACAGGCATACGCCACCACACCTGGCTAACTGTTATATTTTTTGTAGAGATGGGGTTTCACCACGTTGCCCAGGCTACACCTGAGAATTCTAAATCAAGAGTGGCAGGCAGAGGTGGCATCAAAGCTTATGGCATCAAAGCTCTTTCTACCAGGAGCCAGTTTCTGAAAGGCCGCATCTCACAAACTAAGGACCGAAGTCTGAAATGAGTTATCTGCAAGGAAGGAAAGGATGGCTATTCCATGAGATTAAATTCTGAGGGGGAAACAATTCCTGGCCTAGGGACTCCCATGGACTTAGATAACATTCCAACCCTAGAGACAAAGCATGCCTTTGTAGTGTTTGCAAGCAAAGTTTTGATAAGGTTCAGTAACCCAAAGTATTCACATCTGCATAGAAAAGTCCATATTATTCCTGAGTGAGGGAGTTAGGATGGGGAGCAGACCAGAAAGAAGGAAACAGAGACAAGAGCAGGGATTCTAGTGGCAGGGAAAGAACAGAAACCCAGGGTGGTGGGCTGAAAGGCATAAGAGGACAGGGAAGTGTGTAAGAAGGAATATTCAGTTTTTGGCTTAGGTTGTGAGTAGGCAATCTCATGACCATCTCCACTGCTCACTGCTGTTCTGGTGTGAGTGGAACCCCTGTTGGGGTCTGCATCTAGGTGGATGAAGCAACCAAACAAGAACACGGGGGACACAAACAAGGGCAGAGAGGCCTCTGGGCACCGTCCTGGGAACACTGTGTTTCCTGTAGTCCCTTTTCTACCCAAAGGCTGGGAGGTCTCCTTTTCATAGTCTTGGCTCAGTTCCTGAAGCCTCCCTCCTGATAAACACTTAGCTAGCATGTTCCCAGTGACTCAGAAGTGATTCCAGCTAGGGTATCTTGCCACAGCAGCACCTGGCATAAGTGGCTGACACACATCAGGGCACAGAGTTTGCCCTGACACCCTTTCTATAAATCAAACAAGGCCTTACCTGAGAGTCTTAGAGGGAAATAAGATGACCCTGGGAACAGCCAAGGCTGTGCACTTACTGTAGAGATCCGTTTCATCCAGGATCTCTGACTTGATGATCTCCTCTATGATATCCTCCAGTGTGACAATGCCCATCACCTCATAGAAAGGGTCTCCTTCTCCCTCATTATTCACCCGCTGGACAATGGCCAGATGAGATTTTCCTAGAGAACAAATGAAATCACAGTTAAGTATCGGGGACATCTTCATAGATCTTTCTTTGTAAGAAAAATGATACAAAGTTGCGTCTGACCAATCTCAGGACTGCACTCATCCCTGGACCTCCTTAAAATATGAAGTTTTTATGCAAGGGCTTGTAAATGCAAACCTTATTCTTTTAAATTTGTGTTTCTATTTAGGGAAGTTACTGAATATACTCAAAACCAGTTGATTTTTTTTCTTTGAACTTTTACATATTAGCAAGTGTGTGTTAGCTGATATAATATATACAAATCGAAAGAGCAAGAATTTAGAGTCAGAATTATGGTAAAAGTCATTCTCCTCCCCTAAGCCCCCTTCCCCACTAACTATCCCAGTTACTATCCCTTGGCAAATCATTTAATCTCCACCGAATTACCATCTCTCATCTAGAATCAGGAAATAACACCAGTGTGGTGATTTTAAAACATGGCCTTCGTGGTATGCCTCCCACGGAGAGGTGTGGTCTACAGCCCCTTCCCTTGAATCTGGGTGGGCTTGTGACTACTTCAACCAAAAGAGAATGTGAAATGAATGTCCATTATAAGATTTCTGAGGTTAGGTCATAAAAGCATGTGGCTTTTGCTGCAAGAACATTGTAAGAAGTCTGACTATTACCCTGAGGCCACCATAGTGGAGAGGCCACATGTAGGTGCTTAGGTGCCAGTCCCAGCTGAGCCCACCCTTCCAGCCTTCCCACCTAAGTGTCAGCAGCTTGGCGAAGAAGCCGTTTTGGAAGTGGATCTGCCAGTCTCAGCTGATCCAGCCCCTTGTCTCACTCACTCCCCAGCCTGCCTGCCTGCCTGCCTGCCTTCCTTCCTTCCTTCCTTCCTTCCTTCCTTCCTTCCTTCCTTCCTTCCTTCCTCCCTCCCTTCCTTCCTCTTTCTTTTCTTTCTCTTCCTTCCTTCCTTCCTTCCTTCCTTCCTTTTCTTCTCTCTCTCTCTCTCTCTCTCTCTCTCCTTCCTTCCTCAGCCTCCCAAGTAGCTGGGACTACAGGTGCCTGCCACCACGCCAAGCTAATTTTTGTATTTTTAGTAGAGATGGGGTTTCACCGTGTTAGCCAGGATGGTCTTGATCTCTTGACCTCGTGATCCTCCCACCTTGGCCTCCCAAAGTGCTGGGATTATAGGTGGGAGCCACCTCGCCTAGCCTCTCCCCAGCCTTTCAAGCAGCTTCCAGCTGTGGCCCCAGACACTGAAGCAGAGATAAGCCATTCCCGCTGTACTTCTTTGGAATTCCTGACTCTCAGAATCTGTGAGCATAATAAAATAGTTGCTGTTTTATGGCTCTAAGTTTTGGGGTAGTTTGTCAGTAGCAATGGTAGCTTGAATAATCAGGACCTATAAGGTGGTTGTGGAGCTCCAATGGCCTAGTGAATATGTGAAAAGACTATAAACTACAAGATGTCACTGGCAGAGACTTCGCAGACTTCATTTTTATTGACCGATGACTGAATAATAATAGTTTCCATTTATTGAGGTCTTACTATGTGCCAGAGAACTCTAAATTTATCTATTTAATTCTCATAACAACCACTGAGGTAAGTGCTATTCTCCACATTTTACAGATAACAGAACAGAGGCACATATTGGTTAAGTGGCGTGTCTGAAGTTACACAGCCTGTAAGAGCAGAGCTGGATTGCAAACCCAGGTAACTAGGTACAGTACTAACCTGGGGACTGAAGTTTTGTCTAACAGGCCTGCTTCATATCAGTTTGTTTTCTTCTGCTGTATAGACACATTTCCTGGTCCTTTCTCTCTCTCTCTCTTTTTTTTTTTTGAGATGGAATTTCATTCTTGTT